ATAAAAAAAAAAAAAAAAAAAAAAAGCGTGCCTCGCACGCGTGATACTAAAATAACAGTTACATAAATTGCCGAGGAAGAAAAAAGAAAGGGTAAAAGAAATAAAGACAAAAGTGAAAAAAAATATCTGATAAAAAAAAAAGATAAAAAAAAACTTAAGAAAAATTTTGTGCGAAATGTTTCACAACTTAAGTTAAAATTTATAAAGATCACGGATAAAAAAAATATTTATATAAAGATACATTTAAAAATAAATTAATTTAATAGAGTAAAAAAATAATATTTTAAATAACCGTAAAAAAATATTTAAATGAGGGGCAACGAAACACCCCAATAAACTAATTCTCTTTTTAAGGAGAGAATAGATATATTATTATATCAAACTGCGCGTAGGTCCAAGTTAATATAACCTTAGATTAATCCATGAATTTAGGAGGTTTCACATTGACTGTATTTCTACTAAGCTAGACACGAATCCATGATTTCTGAATGAATTTCGGTCAGAAATGGTGTGCTTTAATACACTCCTTCTGTGGGCCAGTTTAGTAGTGCTCTAAATTTTAGAAAAATTATTGTTAATTGTATTGGAAAAAAAATAGTTGTTATAGAAAGTAACTGAGTGTTTAGTAAACTGTAATTATATAAGTTGAGTATTATGAAAGTTTCATTAATTATTATTCAAGATGATTGTCGCACAATTTAAAAGCTAAAATTACCTTTGGATTGTTTGTGATTTTGACTGTAAATTCTTCAAAAATTCTTTAATAATCAATTTTCATAATTTTTACTAAACACAAATTTCAGTTGTGAATTATTAGAAAATTGATTTTGGACTCTGAAAATTACTACCAAACATACCTTATATACTACATAGCGTATAATAGACACCGCAACTTGTTCTTGAACTACTTCAATAAAGTAAATCTTTTTTTTTTTTTTTTTAATACTACATATACGGTTAAGCAACCAAATTAATTTTGAACTTCATGAAGAATAACGATATTCACTTTCACTCGCTGTAATTCTAAAATTGTACTGAGCTTTTGTTTTCTCAACACGACAAATTCACAGTCCCACAAACTCGTTCTCCGCCCCTACGGATGCTATTGTCCCGAAAAGTGTGAAATTGCAGAAACAATAACGTATTCCAAATGTTTTGAAAAACTTCATAGAACTGTCATGAAATCGTGTTCCGTTTTTACCAGATTACAAAAGGCGAGCAGAGAAAATAAGAAAATTATGAGCTTTAAATGTCAAACACAATCCTTAGCTATAAAATTAGTATATACCAGAGTCGAGATACGAGGTTAATTTTTTCTTTCTTTTATTTTATTTAGTCCAATGAGAATGAGAAAGAGCTTGTTTTGAGGTGGACACGACATATGAAAATTTAACATTGAAATTGATGACCGGAAAATATCCTAAATACCCTATATGTTTAGTCAAAATATTATCATCCCCTTCATTTCACCGATTTTAGTTTTGTTACAGTAAAAAGCTCTCAGAAAAAATCACATCTAACTTTTTTACTACAATAAAAAGCATTCACATAAAGTCACACATCAACTCGAATCAACGAACTAAACGGGCTCTGTATTTACTCGTCTTATTATAAAGCGCCAAGATGACACACTAAAGTATATCAAATACATTTCTTAAAATAGATATATTGAATATTTTTTAAACATTAACGAACAAAAATATTATGTAACAAATTTTAAACCAGAAGAATTTCTCATAAAAAAAAAAAAGGACAACCAGATCTTGACTTACCCCTATGGATTTCCAAGTTTACAGACCCATCTCCTCGTAAGAAAATTCTTTTTTTAAAATTATTTTCAATTTAAAAAATATTTGTTATTAATTAATGTATAAAAAAATAATATTTTATACAGATTCTAGACAATAATCTTGAATTTTGAAAAAAATTTAACAATGGTTTTCTTTTGAAAAATAAGAGATATTTTTTTGATAGACAATATTTGTAAAGGAAATTTTGTCATTTATTTATATAAGAAGATGATGTACAAACTTGATATTTTAAAAATACTAAGGTCACTAACTCTAATTTCAATTATTATATGCTAACAGATGTGACGTATGAATTGTCATTGTTATATTAATAAATGTTAAAAATATTGTAATGTCATTTAATAATAAGAAATTACATCTATTAATAAAAAGATAACCATTCATGTACCACATTTATTAGTATATTAGAGTTGAAATTAGAATGGTTTTCCTTACCTTGCTCGTTGAAATAACGCTAACGATGATTTTCTGCGAGATAATCCGAATGTGTGGATCCCACTTTCATTCTTGAGCTGTTACGTGGTATGGGAAATCTTCAAATGGGTTAGAACTTTGTTACTCCAGAATTCAACAAAATGAGTTTCGCAAAAATAGTAGCCGATTTTCGGTGCTGAATCTGGAGTAATATACTAGATTACCACTATCAGATTATGACGCCTAAGTCAAGAGGGTGACCAACGGTAATCGCAGGATCAGAGTAATGTAATAGACTACCATCAATAATCTATTATATTATGTCTTCTTTTTGAATATAGACCACCAATGTTGATATAGTATACTACCACTAGATTAATTCCCAAAATCAAACACATACCACCCACCGTCTCCGTTGTGGGACTAATCTAGTATATTACTACCCATAATCCACTCAATTAACTTGCGGAGTCAAGAGAAAAAACCCAAAGAAAAAGTTGATGAAATTTCAGAATACGGAATGAATCCATTGATGCGTCAACGTCTTTATCAAAAGAAGAATTTACTGACGCGCCGATTTGACATTGTTTGGCCGAAAGGATCATTGGTTTGACGACGTTTGTCAAGTTTGATGCGCATCATCATGATTCTTGCTGCAAAATAGCTTCCATATTAGTTAAAAGCAAATTAGTTACCCAAAAAAAGTTCCTGATAACACAGTGCGGTGCTTTCAACAGTTCGTGTACAAACCATATTCTTTCGAAGTAAAGTGGAAAGAAGAGCAGTAACAGAATTATACACTGGTACAACTGGAAGACCAATCAAGAAATGATATATATGAGCACATGAATCCAGTAATCAATTTAGTTATCATGTCCTTTCTTTTCTTTTTCTTTTTTAATATAGCAATTTTCTCAAGTACTTTGGCGCAAACTGACCTGAGGATGAATTTGAATTTATTTTTTATATTTATTTTGCGACCTTTATTTCCTTTCTTGTCGCTTTAAATTTTTGACGTTTTTTGATTTTAGTCGTTTTTAATGTCCTTGTTTGTGTCATTTGTTGTCGTTTAGTATTTTATTTAATTTTTTTTGCCGAATAAAGTTATTGTTTATTACTGGATGAGGTTTGTTTTTTTTTTTTAACAAAAAAAATAATAATCTTCTCCTTTTCAATACTTTCTTGCATAAGGCTCTTCTTTATTTTATTATCGTCTTCACAATTACGTCGCTTTTTATCCGTGTTGATGTTTAATATCTCGGTCGTCGTCTTAAAATTTTTGTTTTTCCTATTTTATTGTTGTGGTTGATTTATTTGTTGTCTAATACATTTATTTTTATTTTCTTTCTTCATTTTTTATGGAATTTTTTCTCTATCTTTTTGTTGTTTAAATTTCACATTTTCAATTTTTGTTGTGGGTTTTCTGAACATTGTCGTCTGTTGCGTTTGTTGATGTTCCAATTTTTTGTCGTTTTTCCTATTTTAAGATGTTGTCATTTCTACTTCTATTTATCTTATTTTTCCTCTTAGCCCATCTTTCTCTCTATATCCTTTATTAGATTTGATTTTGTTTCCGCATGTTATGTTGTTTCTTTCCCTTACTAGTTGAAGAACACGTGCTGCGAGAAATAATTATGTATTAAGTTTTAATTACTGTGTTATCATTAAAAGTATAGAACATATGAATATAAAATCTTAAAAAGAAATTAAAATTAAAAAAATAAAATTTTAGGAAAAGTAGCAAAAAAAAGATAGAAAAGATTAAAATAAAGAAATAACAAGAAAAATAATAAACAAAATGAGTCAAAAATAACCAAAAGAGATAAATAAGTTTTAGAGCAAAATGAACCAAAGCGAAAGGAAAATAAAATTTTAGGATAAAAATAAAAAAAAGTAAAAAAAAGTAAAATGAAAGAATAAATAAATTTTAAAGTACCACTAGAAAGAAATATCTAAGCAGGAAAATATAAAATTTGAGGGAAAAAATGCAAAATGAAAAAAAAGAGATGAAAAGGGGAAAACTAAACCATGAATAATAATTTAAAAAAAAACACACACACATGTGCGGGATTGTTACTGTTCACATATTTTCAACCAAAATGTTGTCATTTTGGTTAAAAACGTGTGATAACAGTACCCGCCTTTTCCATTAATGAAAATAAATTGAAAATAAACTGACATAAAAAAAAAATAAAGTTGGTTTTTGCCTTTAAGATGGGAAGAAAAGAAAGTAAAAAAAAAAAAAAAAAAAAAAAAAAAAATTTTTTTTTTTTGTTTGGAAGAAAAGAAAAAAAAAAAAAAAAAAAAAAAAAAAAAAAAAAAAAAATCAAAGTTGAAGAATAATTATAATTAGACATTTAGTTCATAAATTTAAAATTATTATTAATTTACGTGTATTTTTTTTTACGAGAGAAAGACATTAAAAAAAAAAAAAAAAGGTACGCTGGATAGGCATTTCGACCGAAAGGCCAAACGCCCGTGAATAGTTAGCGCACAAGCGCTTTTATTATATAGATAGATTATGCTGTTCTTTTCTTTTGGTTTGTTCTTTTTTCCGGTCAATTTTACCTTTTAGTACACTATTTTGCTTTATTTTAGCTGTTTTTTAACTGTATTGTCGTTTATTATTTTATTGTCTATGAATATGGTATAATCTGCCTGCGAAACGTCGTTAGTGGATCATACCCGACCGGAAATTTTTAGACAAGCACGAAAGTCTGACCGGAATTGGTAAGACGATAAGCATGGGAATCTGAGGGGTTATCAAACTTCAACAAGACGCTTACCAGAATTTGTTAGACAATATTAAATTCGTAGAACGGCAGAAGTTCCATAATTGATAATCAAGCAGGAAAAACTGCGCAACCCCATCAAGCTGCTCACATAATAATGTAATAATTTAAAGAAAAAACATAAGAAAAATATATACACAAGCATTCTGGCAAAGCTGAAGTATACTTCTTTGATATAATTACTTGGTCTATTTCTAAGGGGTATTGCAAAGAATCAAATTATATAATAAGTACCACATACAAGATATTCAAAGCGTTTTGAAATACTTCACAGAACTATGCCATGTCCCAATTTGACCAAATTACAAAAGACGATCAGAGCGAATGAACAAATTAACATATTTGGATATCATTTACAGCCATTAGTTACAAAAATTATCTCGGCTTCACATGTTTTTTTTCTTATGGAGATTGAGTTTTCACAACCAGGACTTTCCAAAGCAAGGACTCTGGCAACACAAACAAAAGGGTATCTCCATTTTCTGGTGCTTCTAATTATTTCTTCAATGGAATTCCAAACACAAAACATCGTTTTATGGTGGTGGGGGAGCCACAAAGCCTAATGACCATTTTTTCCTTTGGAAGAAAAGAATCTGCTAAACCCACGTGAATGCTTCTCTGGCGTCGGAGCAGAGGAAGAAGACAAGGAACCTGACTTGGGTGATTTGTGTCTTGGATTCTTTGAATTTATTGGTGATTTCAGGATGCTCGGTTCTGCATCAGATGGGCTTAATGGTGCGCTGTACACATCGATCGGTGATTCAGCTCCCACTCTGTTAAGATTGGCAGAAGTAACACTTTCTAACTCAGCTTGATCAGACTCTGGTAAGTTCATGCCACTAGTAGTGGGTTCATCTTCATTGAGGCCTTCACCATTTTGACTTCTCTCACTGTATGGAGATCCCATGATCTCCGATTGAGGACGCAAGTTCTTCAATTTCTTGCCGAGAAGAAATATGGTTTCTTGACACTCAGCTAGCTTCTCTGCTGCAGCTGCGAACTCTTTTTCCTGTGAAGAACACAAGTTCAAGAATTCATTTGTTGCATGTGTATTCCTTTATAGCTATTCATTTGTTACATGAATGATGAACTTTAGAATGCATACCTGGTTTGGCTTAATTTCATTTTCACAGTTGTTCTCATTCCTGACAAGATTGAAGAAAAACAGATGTCACTTGATAGAGACATACTAGAAATTTATTCCTACACGGGAAGTAAGAAACTAACTGGCTTCTTAGAAAAATGCTTAGGGCACTACCAGTGCTAAGTACCATTACTAATAGAAGGTAGGCCCAATATTGTCGGACCCTCCCTTTATTAGAGGGTGGTGCTCAGCACCGCCGGTGCCAAATAGCATTGTTCGATGTGGAGCTGATAAAGTACTAGTATACTGCAAATAAAGTTTATTCCTAACCTTTGCAATTGCTCTTGAAGCTCTTTACACCTTGTCAAAGCATCCTGATGATTCCTCTTTTCCTCTTGAAGCTCGGCTTCAATACTTTCTGTCTTAGTGCGAAGAAGGTTCAGCTCGGTTTCCAAGTCCTGGGCCCTAGTTTCAAGTGACCTGTACGATTCTGCCATACACTTCAACTGTGTCTCAGACAAGCTATTCGACTTCTGTACAGAAGACAATTGTGATTTAGCCTCTGCAAGAAGCTGCTCGGTTTCCTGCAACTGAGACTTGGTCATCTCCAGATTTTCAGTGCATCGTGCAAAATCCAATGCAAGGTTGTCTTTCTCTGATTTCAATTGATCATACTCCTCCAACGAGATTTTGCATGATTTGGCATTTGATTCATAACTTGACACAATGTTTCCATCATCAGGGACTTCAGGATTAGAAGTGGAATTGGGCATGTGGGCACATCCATTTTGGTAGATTTCACTTGAATCCTTCTGAATGGCCTTATTCTCCGGCAACACAACCTTGTCGATGCAATCAGGACTGTTAGTTTCTGCTTCATTTCCTTTGAAGCCCAGAACACTAAATCTGAGTTCACTAGCTTTTGCTAAGACGGAAGAAAGGTCAAGAACAAAATCAATTAGACTCAAGTCGCTGTGTATGACTTTATTAAGAGTGACAGAGAATTCTTCAATCCTTTGGCTGAATTCACTGCCTTCAGTAGATGTGTCATGGACTCCCATTGCTTCTTTGCCCAAGAACAACACAAAATCATGAATCTGAGAAATGGCCGCTGCTAAATCGTCACGAATAATTTGTCTAGCTTCTCTAGCTGGCTGGGACAAAGCAATTTCCTTCTCGGAAGTTAAGCCAGCATCTTCTGGGTTTGCCTGCCGATCATCACATCCCGCATCAGAACAGTGAACATCTTCAGAAATACAACTTACTGTGTGCTGGTGCAGAGTATCATGTGTTTCCTGGATAGCGTGTTTGATATCCTCCAAAATAGTCCCTACATCAGAGTCCTTGGACACCGACTCCAATAGCACAGAGATTCTTGATTGGAGCTTCATCAATGGCAGCTGCTCAGAATTGGATCCAGGTCTGAGTTCAGGGGATTTCCCATTGGAGGTTAGCTGTTGGTTTGCCAAAGAATTTGAATCACACTGCTCTTCTTTTCTCATAACAACTTCTGAAGCATCATGGTTGACAGTTTCAGATATCTTACTGCTCATTGAATCTGAAACGGAGATGGCCCCATTGGATTCATTTGACAAACAAGCCAATTTCTCCATCTCCAAAAAGTCATCCATAAGATTTAAATGATTTGGTTTTTCAGCCCTGTTTGTTTTTTCATTACTCTTCTCCTTCTTGACTTGAGAGACCTCTGAGATCAGTGTGGTAGTCCAAGACTCGGCACAGCTTCTATCGTCGTCATTTCCATCTTCAGACATGGAGGTCAAGCTGGGTGGATTGCTAGCGTTCTGACTGAAGGAACCTTCAGCGCTTATCTGAACAATAGATTTGGGGGTTGTTTTATGTTGATTGTTGCTTTGAATTTGTGCTTCTAGACTTTGAAGCTTACTAGATGTTTTAGCACACATGCTTCTAGAGACCTGCAATTCACTGTTACGCTTGGCCAAAGCTTCCTTCAGCATCTTTGTTTCTTCTTCCACTGCCAACAAGCGTTCTGTAAGGAATTCATTCTCCTTCTGGTATTTCTGTACGTTGTCAGGAGTAAACTCAGTTGCAGGGGACAGATGCGGACTAGAGGGCTTAACGGGAGACCTCCTTACTCTAGTGTCTCCATAATCTCGTCCTAAACTCTCAACTTCTAGCTTCATTTGGGCAAGTGCAGCAGGACCTGGCAGCTTCTTCCGCACAAGACCACGTAATCTTTGGCACTCGGCTTCAAGCTTAGCTATTTTTTTGACACCCTCCGTGTGCTGCTTGTTGGCTACTTCTGCAGACCTCATACTCATGTTCTTTTCTTCATTACGAATTTCAAGCTCCTTGGAAGCAACATGGAGTTCATACTTCAATGAATTTATCTCCCTTTCACAGGATTCAATGTTGCCCTTCAGAAGCTCAATTTCTGCCTCAGCTTGTGCTTTCTCTTCACTTATCTTGATCAGCATATTCGAACGATCTTGCAAAGACCTAGAAATAGCAGCATTTTCAGCAGCAGACCTTCGGAGATCTTGTTCTAGATTTGCTAACTTTCCTTCCAGGTCAAGCTTGATCTTCTCGCACTGTTTGTTTTTCGTAAGAGCGAGCTCTTGCAATTTTTGCTCATGTTCTTCCTTGAGATTTCTTATCTGCCGCATACACCCTTTCAAAGCACCATCTAAATGTGATGCCCGATCTTCAGCTGTGAGCTTCGAGAGCGTCACAGTTTCCAGATGATTTTTTAACGCAACAGCTTCTGCTTCAGCCTTTTCCCACCCTGCAGAAAAGATGCTCTCGCATTAAAAACTCACGTGAAGGCAGAAAGAAGTAACTATGCATTTGGAACCTGATTTTAAATGTAGCAAGATTGGTTCAGCATTATACCTGAGACAGCTTCTTCAGCAACTTTAGCATGCTGTTTCACCAGATTATCCTTGTTCGTCATCTCTGACTGAGCTGCCGAGAGCTTTTCATTCAAATAACTTATTTCATCATCCAGTGTCTTTACTTGGTCCTCATATGCCTTCACTTGATCCTCCAAACCAGTCAGATGGGCATATTGCTCCACCGAAATTTGCACATAATTTGGTTTTTTGTAGCTATCCTGTTTTCATTAAAAAGAGAGGGAGAGAGATGGAATTATTTAATTGTTCTGACAAAGTTTCTAAGAACCTAAGAAGCTGAAAAATGGCCATCAGCTTGTGAAGAAAATAGCAGCTATCCTTCCGCGGTTCCTTTTACATGGTTGAAAGATCTCCACTCAAAGGGGAAGAGAACATTCAGCCCAGAATACACGCATAAATGTCAATTTCCTGGCCCCATATGTTACGTGGTATCAGGTAGTTCAAGGTCGGTAGAGTTTATTACACTGAACTCCAATAAAAAAAGATTATGTTTCTGCAAATAAGGTTTTCCTTATACTTGTTAAAATCGAATTTGTGCTTCACAATGTGTATGATCTGGTTCAAAATTCTAGAGATAATGCGTGGTAGAGTTGAGAATAGTTGCCTATCAAAAAACCAATCATGAAAATGCCACTGAAGAGGGAAAACAATTGGGAACTTGAGCATAAAAGAAAGGCAGTGAAGAAGAAAAGTTGTCATGATATTAGATATGATGGTTTTATTGGGAGTAAACCTGATATGAATAAACTTACCTCTCCATGGGATCCTCCTGAAGCCAGAGCAGCAGCAGCCGCATCTGCTGCCGCAGCTGCTCTCTCAGCTGCAGCCTTGTCTGATGATTTTTTCTTCCATGGCCAGCTTCGTCGATCCATTTAGACTGTAATGCCTGCAAAGAGATGGATTGTAAGTTACATATAAAGAATTTATTTTATTTCAAAAAAATAAATACACATAATAGTTCAAAAACATAACCTTGCTGGTCAATTTTCCAAATTCAGAGAAATTCACTAAAATTCAAGTGATAAGAAGGAATGTAATCTATAAACACGGGGCAGAAATGTATGCCAGGAGCTGAAAAGTACATAGCACTAGCTCACTAACATTACTTTCATAAAATGGCAAATCTCTTCTAGATCATTACATAAAAAAGATGTTGGGTCACATTTTTTCCGGCTTCCCTTTACCCTCCAACAATTTTTTAATCTTAGTTGTTACAAATGGGAAGAAACTAAAATCGGTCTAATTTAATATACGCAAAGCATATCACAATGATCAGTTTTCTCGGTCAAATTTCTAAAATTGACGTCAATCCTCTGAAACACACTTGCGCAAACAAATTTTTTGTTTGAAATTTCAAAAAAAAAAAAAAAAAGAGAAAAAAAAGATTTTTTTTTTATTTTTTCTGGCTTTGGAGAAAAAATAAAGAATTATTGCATAATTAAGCCAAATACTAGTAATAAAAAAAGAAATAAAAAGTTAAAAAAATCCCATTTCGGTTCGCTAGATTTTGGCAACCAAACAGAATCATCCGTAATGTAACATAGATAAAATTCTAAAGACTAATCGAAGTTTAGAAAAATTAGTGTTTTTACTAAAACTTAAAAAGTAGAAATTGATTAAAAGAAAGTTTGAAAAACTGTTACTATAAATAGTAATGCTCAAATACCGCCCTTGTAAAAAATTTATACGTATTGAAGACGCTACTATTTCAAAAGAACATTTGGGTTAAATAAGCACTACTAATGCAGAATCTCAAACGCAAGATCTAAACACACAGCTCTTGATTGCTGAAGATCCTGTAATTTGAAGAAGATTTTCATTTTTGAAAATATAATTTATGCAAATTAAATGGAACAATTGGAACTCACAACGAAAAGTGCTTTTATCTTAGATCGAATTCAATCAGAAGACAATCTGTGCGAAACAGAACGGTGAGTAAAAGTATTTTTGATAACCGATTCAACCCAAAAATAACCAAATTTTGCAAGCAAACATATGATTTACTGATACAAAATCAGGAATCTTTTTTTTTTCTCCTTTGAGCTGTAAAAAAAATGACACTCACAGCGTAATTCAAACAAGAAAAATTTGAAAAAAAAAAACTATTTTCCAAAAAGGAACAAAGAATCCAGAAACAGAACCATCACCGACAGAGAGAGATGAAAAAAGATATCTCCAATCCAATAAAGGCAAAATCTCACCAAAATCCAAGAATGCTTAAGAAAAGACGGAAGACGAGAAATTAGAATCACGAAGCCATTATTTTCCCTAATTTTTTTTCTCAGAATCTCCCTTCAATACGCCATTACTGAAAGCAAAGAAGAAGAAGAAGAAGAAGAAGAAGAAGAAGAAGAGAAGGCTGAAGAATAACCAAATGCAGAAGAAATTGGCTCACCAGAAGAAATGCAGCTACAGAAAACTCTCAAAGAGAAATACAGATTGCGAAACTTTGCGACGAGGACGAAGACCACCGAGCTCCGTACGATATTCAACAATGGAGATCCGAGACTTCGATTCCTTCCTCGGTAAGTTTCGCGAAAAGATAAAAGAAACAAAGAAATACGGAAAATGGAAGAAAAATAGGAAAAGGAACCGTAGAAACGGAGGAGCTGTTGATGACGGTGGTTGTTGTGGTGGTGGTGGTGGTGACGAAGGTGGGTAAGGCTTGGAGAGTGAAATATTCGGATTTAGGTGTCACTTAAAACTTAAAAGGCAAGGACTTCGGACAAAAATAAAAAAAATATTTTATTCCAATTTATATTTTCACACACGCGAAAAAAGATAAGGGTCCTTAAAAAAAAAGGGGAAAAAAAAAAGGAGGAAAGAGACATGATTAATCAATAAAATAAAATATTTTAGGGAAAAAAAAGGAGGAAAGAGATATGATTAATCACTAAAATAAATTATTTTTTTACTTTGATTTTTGGGTGCGTGCTTCTGAATTTAATTATCTGAGGATATTTACTTTGAGAAGCTTATGAAATGACGGATTAGCCCCTGGAAAAGTAGAAAATAGCGGGGAAGAGCTATTGATTTAACGCTTGTGGGAGAAGCAAAGAGAGGAGACGATGATGAGCTGTATCCGGTATTGGGGAGAAAAATAATAATAATAAAAAAATTACGACTTTGGACCACCGTCGCATAGTAGTAGTGGCCAGTCCAGCTCATAGAGAGTTTTTGGCTGTTCTTTTCGCTGGCTTGCGCCTCTTTTTCCTCTTCTCCCCGGATCAATGGATTGCCACTTTAAAAGACTGATTCTTAACTTCCAACACACTTTCATCAATCGGGACGATCTAAGCCCTTAGTTTTGTTGAATTTCTAATAACAAAAAATAGCAATACATATGGATTGTGCTTGGTGATATATTATATATCAATGTCTGAATTTTTAGCTTTTCAAAATACGACGAATAAAACTAGCTCTCCACTATCCTTTGCCTTTGATTTTAAAAATAATAAAACAAAAAAATTGTACAATAATAGTGTGGAAGGATTGTTTTATCGGGATCTACGGTCATTAATGATGGTTGGACTTTTTGATTAATGTACTAGAAACCTTCAGATAATCTTTCATAATCTTGCCCCGTTCACTTCACCAATTTGAGTTTAAAATTTAAGTTTTGTTACAGTAAAAAGCTCTCACAAACAATCACATCTAACTTTTTTGTTACAGTAAAAAACTCTCACATAAAATCACATCTCAACTCAAATTACAAACTCGAATCAGCGAAAAGAACGGCCCTTAATTCAAAGAAATTTTCCTTCTAATCTCTGAGTGCAGGAATCCCGGAAAGACACTAACATCACCATCTCCTTGTAAAAATAACCTAGTAGGCTATTAGCTTGTCCCATTGTTTTTATAGATTACCTTGTCCGAATTGTATCATGGTTGTTGACATAAAATTCAAGTAAAATTCAAAATAATACATAAGACTTATAGAAATATTACCATAGTGATTGCAACCTTGGCCTAGCATAAATTCACTTCTTTTTTTTTTACCTCAAATATTGAGATTTAGTGTTCAAACTGATAAGGAAAGTGAATCTCAATCGAATCAAATGCATAAATTATAGGATTGTAGTTAATTTAGGGGTTGTTTGGTTGGGGGATTCATACCCCGATTTGAATCATGATTCATAGTTCGTTACAGTATTTTTTTCTCATAAAAAATACACTTAAATAAAAAATTATTTTAATCTCATGATTCTAATCCATGAACCAAACGCGTCCTTAAAGATTTTGATTATAGGCTAGTTTCCCTTTCTAATGTTTTATAGTATTCACTTTTATGATTTTCACGACACTTTTTTTATATTATATGGTTTTCTCATCAACGAAATTCGCTAAGTCACTTCCCATGTATTTATTATATTTGATACCATAATACTTTGGAGAATTTGAAAAATAATGGTGTGATTTTTTTCTTTCATAAATAGAAATACATATAAAAATATATATGTAATTACATGAGGTATTTGGATTAATCATCCATTATCCTTATCGCCCGGTAAGACTAACTAAACTTTGATATGAACTACAGTAATTCGAACAAGATATGAATATTATTGATACCGACAATTCTAATACATTTATGGCCGTGAGGGTTTGTTTTTTCTTCTCCTTTTGTGCATATCTTATTGTGGGATTTCTCTAATTTATTTAGCTTTATTGGGATAAAATAAAAAATAAAAAACTACTATTAAACTACCACATGCAATGCTTTTATTACGACTAAGAAATTACACATTCATGCAACAATATGATGACCTATCGTCTAACTCCTTTCCCTTTGGTCTATTTTTATTAACCTATTTATAGGGTTATCATATTTATTTGTGACTTTTTTGTAAAGGTAATTCGTCACTTAACATTTTACATTTATATAGGTGCTTTCGCTTTCTGCCAAAGAAAAAAAAAATGAAAATCACCACTCAAAACTGGACAATACTGTAAGCCTGTAGCCAAATAAGAAAATACACACTTGATAAGGATTTCTTTCAACCAAAGCAAAACATGTCAAAGGAACTCAGAGGGAATGAGAAAAATTGGAAGCTTGGAATTTTCTTATTTTTTGGGAATTTGGTAGTTCACGTTAGATTCTTGAGTATCCAACAGGGGAAGAGCATCTCTGTCGTTTTCCACGAGTTCAAAAGTCGTTTTCTGCTACCACAGGCGTTCATAATTGCCTTTCCTTCAATTACCAAACACCTCACCGACTTGGATGTCTAAAACACACAGAGTTCTGGAAAAAAAAAAAACCCACTGGACAGCACAAAAGATGGACAAAGTATCAATTTTTTTTTCTCTTGTTTTTTCTTTTTTTTTTCTTTCTTTTTCTTTTCCTCTTTTAAAGGCACATGTATAGCAAATTCGCTTTTATTTAACTTTATTTTTGCTATTACGTAAAATTAATTAATCCAAAAACAAAAAAACTTTGGTGTATAATATTGTTACACGGAGGGACGGAAGAAAAAGGAAACAAAACTAACAGTCAGAATGAGCTAAAATAACCACAAATTGAGCAATGTGTATGTACCCAGAACTTTGGTACGAAAGGTAACTGAAAGTGGGGCAGAAACCTGTACAGCACGTGGGGCAAAAATGGCAGAGATTGTATCAGCCAAATATATTAGAGGAGACGAAGATAACATTATCCCATTGTGTCAATAAAGCATATAGATACATATAATTGATCTTCTTTTTTTTTTTTCATGTTCAACTATTGGATGTAAATTATTGCTGGTAATGAGCAATTGTTTTTGCTTTTACTTTAACAGATGAGTTGTCCATGTTTCTTAATTCTTGTAAAAATTATATCAAAATTAAAAAAAAAATTATGTGATCGAACCTAATGAAGATTAGACAGTTTCAAACTGTACATCGTTGTTAAGTTTTTTTTTTTTTTTTTTCACGTCTTTTAGAAAATAATACTTTAATTTCAATTTCACCCGACATGTATTGAACACTTTCAATCGTACAATCAAATCACCTACTTATTTATTTCTGTTTTGGCTACTGATGATCAATAATAGTTTAGTTAAAGAAAAAAAACCACACAAAAAAAACTAAAAACTAAAAAATAGAAAGTTTAACTATGCAATAAAAGGTAACTGTACATCAAGACTGAAATAATGTGTTTTCAGCAACGGGGAAAAAAAGGAATGAAAAATTCCATGAAATAGTGCCTTTTTTATATTACAGGCCCACTTGCGTGCTTACCGTGAATTGTTTGCTCTCAACTGAAACGAAAACAAATAAAAATCAGTTGTTTGTGGAGCGTGAGATTTGAACAAATTTACGGTCTTTCGCAACCCCATTTTCTTGTTCATTTGCAAATTCCGACTCATGAACTAACAGTGACCCAGAACTAACAGTGACCCAGCCCTCGCAATATTCTTTTTTCATGATTGGACTTGGGGTAAGATTTTAACTTTTAAAATGCATAATTATTATGAGATGTTTATTTTAAAGGTTTATTTATGGTTCTGAATCATAATTTTTAATTTTTTACAGTATTTTTTTTTTATAAAAAATTTAAATTTTAAAAATTAAAATCATAAATCATAATTCTGAATCTATTAATTAAAACGTCTCGTAATTAATTTGCAACTTGTAGAATGTTGCATTTTTTTTGGGGGAAAAAGACATCACTTGCATATCCTTATAGTGGGGAAGAAAGCAGCAGAATTTTTTTTGTGACTTTCTCAGTTTCTCTGGTGCACCTCCTTTTTTTCTTAACTATTGGAAGGTTATTTTTTTAGTTATTATTTGATTAAAATCCTGTGGCGTGTAGTTGCCAACTATATCTCTATTATAACTTTAAATGTACTCACTCAATTTTGTCATGATTAAGGCATCGTTTAGTTCTCTAATATGAGTTTAATTTAAATTGATATGTAATTTTTTGTGAAAAATTTTTTACTGTAGCAGAATAAGTTATATACGACTTTTTGTAGGAATTTTTTACTTTAACAAACTAGAATTAATAACTCAAATTGAAGAGCTGAATGAGGCTTAAGTCTGCGTGGAGACTTTTTTCCAAGTGTAAAAAAAGAGATTATTCTCACTAGTGCTCCTAAACTTTTGAGTCATTCCTAGTTTACTCCTTAAACCTTAAAAACTCTTACTTTCTTCCCTAAACTTTGAATCGTTCTCAATTAATCCCTTTTGTTGAATTTCTGTTAAAATCATAGAGAAAAAAATGGGGTTAAGTGTAGTTATGTAGTTTTTATCTATTTTTTTATATAGAAATCCAAAACAAAAATATCATGTGATTGTATTATTCTCTTTTTTCTATATGTTTTTAACAGAAATTACTAAATAAGGGGTTAAGTGGAAACAATTCAAAATTTATTGAGTAAAATGAGAGTTTTTAAAGTTCAAAGGGCAAATTAAGAATGACTCTAAAGTTCAGAGAATATCAGTGATAATAATCCTAAAAAAAAAGTCAATAAAATGATTAATTTTCTAAATAAAAACATGGCTATTTCATTTCATATTTCTATAACTTTTAAGGTGTATTTATTCGCACAACTCAAACCATAATTTAGATTATGTATGTGAGAGAAAAATATTATAATAAAAAATTAAATTTAAATTTATGTGACAACAAACACTATCTTAATATAACTTGAGTATTGACTCATGACTTGATTTATGTAAATGAAGACACCGTTAATCTTTCTCATG